CTAATTGCTTGTCAGTTTTGGATCTCTTTTTATTTTGTCACTTTTTCCCCCCATACCTTTCTCCCCACAGCAGAATTTCTGTTGCCTTATTTGAAAGAACAATCTTTATTCTTCATGAAGGCTTTCTCTTATGGTTATTTCTATTTATTTTTTAAAAGGGAGTTTATGTAAAAAAATTTGCTAGGTGAAATAGCAGTCAGTTCTAGACTAGCATAGCCACTTTTTGTTTTTTGGTGATTAGAAGTGGTCTTTACCAAAAGACTGTGTGTAAGTGTGAAAGAGAGATGCAAGAAATAACACCCCTTAACACTGTACACCCATCAGCTGGGTTTGTTGGCTTAAAGAGATAAGGAGGGAGATATCCAATGCTCTTTTTTCTGTTTCTTTAGGAAATTGATTGAGTTCCAGGATGATAAAGTTTAGCTTTCAGAATAGTAATATACATAAATTTAGCAATAATTTAGGAGTTCAATATCTCATGCAGTTACCTTACGAATTAAAGAAAATTTACTTATGCTATTGAAGTAAAAAAGTAGTTCAGTTTCCCCTTTCTAGAAGATCTGTCAATATGGAACTATAGTGTCAAAACATTTCTAGTTATTGAAGTTCCTATTAAACTATTTTAAGAACATTTTTCTTAATTTTTTTCCTAGTTTTTAGCCTCATACACATAGTTACAACATAACTACAACAAAGGAGCAAGACAACAACATGTAATACAGTTTTTAAATGCTTTCCAAAACAGTTTTGACACTACTTCTGTCAGATTGACTAGCATGTGCAGAAGGCACTGTTTGTTAGAAAGCACTGATTATAATATATTGTGTCTATATCGCATAGGCTGAGAAAAACTTGGTGCCCCTTTTTTTCATGTAAAGTCCCATAGCTCAGCTTTACCACCCTGAGAACAGGGATCAACTATAGATGAACCCTTTCCCTTCATCTACGTAGAAATTTCACTTTTTTCTGCCAATTACCAGAGGTTCACAAGAGTATTGTATATTCTCTTGGCAATCTATCAACCTCTTCTCCAGAAGGATAAAACAAAAAATAACATCCAGTTTTTCTTTCTGGTACTAGCCCATTATTCTGTCTTTGGTCTGCAGGTCAATACAGCATTATTTGTGCAGTACTGAAGGATATAACACTGACAATAGACTAAGCACAGGCAACACAGGAAGAAAGAAATATTTTCCGTTCTGATTACTTATATCTAAATAACGATGTTGATTTGAAGCTGGTCAGATTTTGATACTGGAAGAATTTGTTCTGACAGGGAGGAATTCTAGAGGGCAGAGTGCGGAGGGAGAAGGCAGAAAGTATACAAGAAATGCAATTTATTACAAGCTCTATAACTAATTGTCACTCCGTCACCGTGGGACTGAAAAGGATCCCCGAGGGATGTGACAAAATGTGTAGAGCTGTGCTGAATGTGCATCTGCAAAACTAAATCATTCAGATTAATTCAAATATGTGGTCAATTTGATTATGGGAGGTGGGCGACACTGAAATTCGGGACAAGTCTCCACTACTAAGGACGCATCTCCTCATGTTGGTGAAGCATACACATTTCGCATCACTGGGCTCATACTAGTGTCCTGGGAATTCATTATAGTGACTTGCTGCCACACTAAGCAGTAACTACTCTGCTGTAATGATTTCCAGCAATGCTGGTGGAACTTTCCCACCTCATCTTATTTAATTATTTATTTTAATTTTAACTCACTCTGACAGTCTCTTGAGATACACAACTCATTTTCATGAGGGCTCCCAGGAGACAGCAATAACACAAGTCTACTCTGCAGTTGCATACATCATTATAACAAAAACCATAAAGCAGGACATTTAATCTGAAGCTGCAGACAAGAGCACTGAGCAGTCAGCATCTCAGTATGTTAGCTTAAGGCAACAATTTAAGGCATTTCAGAAAGTTCAGTCCTTTTTTTTTAGTTACTCACAGCTCAAGTTCGTCTATGCTTTACTATCTCCTCTGTGTTAACCATTCAAGGTCTTTCCATCTGTACTTCCCCCTGTAGACAAAGTTTGCTGTCTTCAAGGCAGGGTTGAGGTTTGTTTGTTTGGAGGGGGGGGGGAGGTTTTTAATGAATGTTTATACTAGACCTGTAGTAGGTGGGGTGCTGAGTAAGTAAGAATGAGGACCTTTGTACTGAGCATTAATTAGGTTTGGGTTTTTAAAAGATGTTTACCAGAGCAAAAACACTTCAAAGAATCTTCACTAAAAATCCTTCCTCTTTTAATTGTTGAATTTGTCGTAGTGGAAATGATTCTCCAGGCTTCACACACAATTCAGGAACAGCTGAGGCCTGAATTTCTAAGTATGATTATAACAGGAAGTAGATGCCACTGTAATCTTTATTATTATTGTTGTTGTTGTTGTTGTTGTTGTTGATGATGATGATGATGATGATGTTATTGTTTATTATTGTGGACAATATTTGTTCTGAACAAAGAATTGTAAAACTTTAATTTTGGGGGCAGGTGTTTAACAGTTAATCTCTGAATTGAGTTAAATAACATAGTGGTTTTGGCAAAATGTAAATTTAATGCCTCCTAGTTAATGTTAATGTTAAGAAGAACACATACTTTTGAGATAAAGAAGCCCTTCATAGTTTGCCACTTTTTTCTCTTATGTGTTCTAAGTCATATATGAGCCAGACTGTAAAATAACACAGTTTACAGGCTCCATTTTGGTATTTTAAAAATTTTTTTCTACGGATGACTTCTGAGAGGCAGGAGAAACAAATAGTGTATAGTAAATCTTGATCTGTTGGTATCTTCTGCACTTATTTATATTTACTATTTTATAAGGCAAGATTTTTCCACCACCACTATCCCCACAGTTTTTATAAAGGAAAGTTCAGTAGTAATGATTTCAAATACATTTTAAATGTGTCATTCTGAGAAATCTCTGTGCACTTTATATATCATTTTTAACTTATTATGCACTGCTTATAGTCTTATGAACTGCTCCCAGGCATCTCCCAAGATGGAAACAAAGGGAAGAAAAATAATACTTGAATGGATAAAACTGCAGCCTTATCATTTTGTGAGGTACTGCTTAATTTTAATGTACATCTGAAGTATAACAATGACTAATCTATTTAAATAGCTCATCTGTAAATATAGAAGTCTTTAGAAGGAAATTGCATACCTCAAGGCAGAAACTGATTTCTAGCAAGCATCAGGAAAGAATGCAGAAAGGCAAGGAAACCAAGGAGGAAGAGTATATAGTTAGAAACAAATGTGAGACTCAGAATGTCTGGATTCTGTCCCTGGTATAACTTAGACTTCATACAACATTTAGCTGTGAAAAATTCCTATTAAATCACACTCATACTTAAAGGTAATAATACATCATGTTGTATGAATCTGTTCCGAAATCGGATGTGAGGCTTTTAAGAGACCAGTGGCTTGGTCTTTGTAGGGGTTGAGGGGAGATTACATTGATATGGAGGTAAGAAGCAGGGTAATACTAAATGTCTAAAAATTTCCTTCCTCAGTGGAAAATACCATACAGAGTTTCTTTTTTAACTCCTGCCCAGTCACAAAAGACTGGAGTTCTTTCTTCAGCATAACCCACTGTCCTGAACCACATAATAGCAATGGAAAATATGTCCTTTCTGAGTATTTCTAATGTACAGCAGTCTTGAAGCATTCTTCCATTATTCTGATGAGAAACTGTACTTAGATGAATACAGAAGAAAGTATGGTTGGGCTTCCATTATTATTATGGATTTGAAAGAAGCATAAGAGAAAAAAAAAAACGCAGCCAAAAGATGGTTGATGAGCTTCCTTCCACTGCAGTATTTTTCCATCTGATTTCTAATTTCTTGTTTCGTTCTTCTTTAGAGATTTTGAATTTGTTCTGTTGGGTTCCCCTGAAACCTAGAAACAAAATTAGTTTCATTGTGTTTCTGTTTACATAACTGGTAATGGCTTTATGATACTCAAACAAAGCCAAAATTAGAAGGTAGTTCTAATTTCTGTAGATTTAGTTGCATGTTTTGAGACTCATGATTGATTGATCTTTGATATCTTCAGATAACTGAACAAATGGTTACATTAGGGTAACTATTTCTCTGAGGCTGTAGAGTTATTTTATTACTTTCAAGGTACTTTGCTTTAAGCGCTACATCAACTTCCATGCACATTTTCACATTTTACTATTGTAGTATAAAAGGTTACATTTTCCTTTTTGAAGCTGAGAAAATATTAGATGCTTTTATTAAAAGAATACTGATCATCTAAACACCAATACCTGAACTTTCTGTCAGTATGAAATAATTTTCTGAGGTTCCAGGATAATATTGGTTGGAATTTCTGTAAAGCACAGGGGGTAAAAGTGCACATTTTGACTGAAAGTTCCTGTCAGTATGCTCTAATACTGACTTAGAATCCTCAAAGCCCCTTTTGGAGGCTTTCTTTCGAAACCCATCGTAGCTTTGATATTTTTCACCATGTCGGATCTCTGTGTGGTGTACGGAAGATCAAGAACTCACGTGAAATGAATTACCAATCACTATCTATCTAATGACACTGTAGCAGAGATTTTATTTTACTGCCAGACCTGGGCAGTGATTGGCAGGTAAAGGCCAAAGGAACTGTCCTGAATCATCTAGTTTTTAATAATGTAAATGTTTTCATAGCTTGGAAGAACCGTGCTAATTCTTAAGGTATTTTAATAAAAACAATCTGAAAACACTTTTACAGGAAGGATTGAAAAGAAATTTTAGTTACAATGAGCGTCTTTTAGAGACTGGTTAGTACAGCTGTGAGTGTAATCTAAGGTCAGAAACCTGAAAATTTTTCCCTATTAGATAGAAAATGGTCGGCTGTGGAAGTCTATTGTGAAGACCTCAGAAGAAATATCAATTTTTCCAGTCAGCTTTTCATAATGTAAATATAATTTGAGCTTTCCCAAATGGGCAGCTAAACCATGAACAAGCAGAAAAACCCATTTTGGACTGTATTTCTGAACCAGGCTTCACCTTCTGTCTCGGGAACTTATTAAAGGATTACAGCTGAAAAAGACAAAAGAAAGAAAAGCTTGAACAGGAAGCTTATCCTACAATGAGAATTACAAGTACATCTTGTATCTGCCCAGTCCTAGTTTGTCTCTGTTTTGTGCAGAGGTGTTATGGAGCTGCTCACCATGGCTCCATCAAGGTGACTAGAAATCAAACGAAACACGTAGAAGGTGAAACAGAAGTGCATCATCGTCCCAAGCGTGGATGGGTGTGGAATCAGTTCTTTGTTTTAGAAGAACACATGGGACCAGATCCTCAGTATGTAGGAAAGGTAAGGTCGTTGTCTTCTTTTTGGTTTGGGGTTTGGTTTTCCCATCCCCTGAAATATGGCATTGATAAAGGAAAACCAAGTATCTCCTTAGATGGCACCTCCTTTTTTTAAAGGAGGACACCTCTTGGATTGCTACGTGCATGCACAGTGAACTTGCCAGTTGTCTATGTATACTTTCTGTGTTTATTATAAAGAAAAAAGATAAATAAAAGTAAATAGGATGAAGATATTAAAATATGATAAAATAGCGTTTATTCTGAGCTCAGCTAAACATGGAGTGAGTGCAGCTGATCCTCTTACATCAGATTCTGTAGAACCCCAAATGCATGCAGCTTAAATACGTCACTGCTAAAGACTTTTCCAGACTATTTCAGAATAAGATTCAGTTCTACTTCAGGGAATATTATAAATACATTCTAGGCTCCATAGGCTATTCATTCCACTCTGAGGGTACGGTGGAAAAGGACTCCTCCAAAGGGAAATCCTCTGTGACTTTCTTCGTAAAAAGAGGCAGGAGGTGTGTTGTTACAGTTTCTCAGAAGCCTGTGAGAACAACAAGCCCTGCATTTATGTTTTGACATATATAGTGAGCTTCAGGCATAAAGTTCATGCTGATGCAGTTGTAGGCTGGCCAACTGAAGCCTGGTTTATCATGTGTAATGTTGTCTGTATAGCTTGCGTTCTAAATTTGCATTAAAATAACACAAAACTCTCTATATAGCTTTATTGCAAGATTTATGACAGATGGAACTTTTCTCCCTGTTTCAGCATTATAATAGAATTTTTTATTATGTAATCTAGATGAATCTTAATTTCCTTAATGAAAATGGAGAATGTTGAATATGAGGGGTGAAGAAAGATGGTTAATGAGGATGAGGGCATGGAAAAGGAATTATTTCATTTTAGTTTGCCTTCACGTTGGGAATCCTGAAAATTATATCTTAGAGTATGAAAAACATCGAAGGAAACCAGTAGCTTCTGAAATCACAGATGTCTGGTAGCAGGGGCTTTCAAATTTGAACAGTATCATCTGAACTAAAAACAGCAAGTGGAGCATCTGTATTTAAGACACTGTTAACACAAAAACAAAAAAAAAATATTTAGTTATGCCAACCTTAGTAAAATACCAAGTATTTCAGCATACTGAAAATTGTTGAGATCTGTGCAGGAAATGTAAACTGGGGAAGGACCTTTCTAAATGGAGACAGTGGGTTGCATTGAAAGAGAAGCTTTTAAAATGGGAAAGGGGATGAGGAGATATGCTTCCCAACCCATCTTAGACTGATTAACATTTTCACGAATGATTTTGGAATAGAAGAAGCATTTTACAAACATGTTGCTGATGCAAAGCTATGGTGGAGAATCAAAAAATTGTCTGGAAAGAGCTAGATAGCATGAATAAGATTTGGATATGGAGGTACAGAGTAAACCTCAGGACCACAATCTGATAAGGCTCTTACAGAACAATATAATGAATTTCTGTTATACGCTACTGGTTTGTCAGGTGTAAGTGACAGAGGAAGAGAAAGATCTGATCACCAGATCAGTTATTGCCTCCACTGTCATACCTTAAAGAAGGTAAATATGATACTAAGCTGCAAAAGCTGTGATAATCAAAACAGAGATAAAGTGGTATTGAAGCCTTTGTGAAAAAGAATGTTAACCTGTTTACTGCTCTGATTACTTTTGGCCAAGAAAAATGAACTTATATATGAAGCTATACAGAGAAAATAGAATACTATGGTTGGGGTGGTGGTAGAGAGTAAAATAGGTTTGTTTAATTACTCCCACAAATAATAGCGGAGAGCATGTATTATCCTATAAATACACTTCAGAAGAAACCACAAGGGAAAGA